GGATTGAATCAAAGTAGGGGGAAGTAGGGGGATATATCCCCCTGGGGGAAGGATTGAATACCACCCCAGCCATCGTGGAACTCGCGCAGCTCTCAAAAAATGATCTGTGTAGAGCCGTTGTGCGAGTTTCGTGCTGCCTCACTCAATTTTTTCGTAACTATCGCAGTGCCTTTACTTCTTCAAAATGACAGTCGGATTACCGCACCGACTGCTCAAAAATATTGTTGATATCGGCCGAACCTCAAAGCATCATACTGCATGATACCACCATAGTCGTAGGTTATACCGTAGTTGTCATTAGTATATCTTGTCTCCTTCGCGTACTGTACAACCCAATCAGGCTAAAATCAATGTTTTTGATGGAGTATAATCGATGCCTGAGTAGAAACATCTTACATATATATTTTGCACGTTGACAGTGATAAATTCATCTCGGTCGTATCTACTCTGCATGTGAAATAGGCCAAGAGCATGTCCAAGTTCGTGTGCCGCGATTCCAACCTGTTGTAGTAGGTGAATGAGTAATGCCATAAATTATGGAAAGTTTCCTTCCATATATGAACTGAGACCCACTGTTTCACAATCGTTACCGAGTGAAAGATCCTGTTCTCCTCCAAGTCTGCCCATTTGAGACCAACATCCGTCCCCTTTGAGGAGCCGGATCCTACTGGGGGCTGAAATTGAAATGTCTAATTTGGTGTCCTTGTCAAAATTATGTTGCGAGCGTCGTACCAAGAGAAATCGCAGCAAGTAGCTAGAGCCATCAAAAGCGCCATCATTTGCTGTCTTTACCAAGATGTGTCTTATGAGGGAGCGGTCAACAGAATCGTCCGGGAGTGGCGCCGTCGCGCGCGGTTACTTGCGCGGCGTCGTGACGCGGCAGTTTTTCGATGGGCGCGGCAATAATTGACTTTGTCGATTGGAGCGATGAATCAGCTGCAGTCCACGTTACTGAAGCGGACGAGGGAGCGCACATTCGTAAAAACCGCTCTGGAGGCAGATTGCGACAAGCTTTGTTCGTGCTTCTTGGAATTTTCTCACGGTTTGAACTCTACATTTACAAGGTAGTGATAGCTCTTCAAAGAACACCATACAATCAACCCCAGAAAATAAACGAGTCCAATCAACAGAAATCGTGCAACGTTGGCGATACTCAATACTACGTTGGAGAAAACAATGCGTGATAGAAATGTATATCACACGTTGTTTTCTCTACTCCTCAGCTAAAAAATTCGAGAAATTTTTCAAAAAAAACCTTGTCGACCTAAGAAAAGAATTTTCTGGTCCGAATTCGAACTTGTCTTGGTTTTCTGAGCACTAACTCAGCAGAGTTAGAATTCAGACCAATCATTTCCACATTGTATGAGAAGGGGAAAAGCAAAAAAGTCCACTGGAACCAAAATAACCTATGCATTGATGAAAATGTTAAAGGGAGCAGTCGGTCAAGCGAACGACGCTTGCAGAAACTCGTCCACCGCCACCGCGACGTCGCGGCCACGACCACTACCGCGGGTCTCCGGACGATTCTGTTGACACGCACCCGTCCTACGACTACCGACATTGTGATGAGTAGACGCTGAGCAAGGAGCGAAGCTTCGTCCTTCTGTCGCTAGCCTTTCGCGACGTAACCGTGACTGTTGCGAATGTCTGAGTATGGATAGTTACTTGAGAACGTTTGCCATGGTACAGTACTCAGCCGTGAGAGGGGGTGGAGATTGAAGGCGGCGAATACGAAAGGTCGTGGAGGGGTTCCAGAGGAGACGTAGTGGTGCTCAGTGGTACATCAGTGGCAAAAAAGCAGAGAAATCCGTCAAGAAAACGCAAATTGGAACCCTTTTTTGGAGGTTGGTTCTCACTCATGAACAGGCAACACGCATGGACGTATGAACAGGTTCACGCAACGCGTTCGGTGGCACCATGCCAAACCATGCTCCAGTCGAGTTGCTCCAGTTGTGCCGCTGCTGGCAACGCAGCTCGTCCAAATCACCAACTAAACTAGTGGGCGGATCGCTTTTGGGGGCGGAGTGCTTTCGAAGTCCTGCTCAGCAACCAGCGCACCTTTCGTCGTGAAAGCGCCACACCTCGCTTCCTTGGCAGCCAAGTAACTGCTTCGTGTGGTGCATATGCTTCCCCGATGCGCTCCCTCTTTATCGTAATCGCTTCCTTTAAAGGCAAGAATCAGGATTAAATTGATGGGGTGATTCCACTCAAATGTGAAAGTAGGGATGGAGGTGGACCGCCAGTGGAGAAAAAAGGAAAGAAAATCCTGAAATACACAGGAAATACGAGCATTTTGCTCTACGCTGCGGAGAAGTTCAAAAGGCGGCAGATGAGAGATAATGTGAGCGCGGAGAGCGGTAGAGAAGTCCGAGAAGAGAGAGCATAGCAGATCAACGGCGACGCAGACAAGATATCGACGGTGGGCGGACCATGTTAAGTTTGGTGGAGTCTGTTAGAAGTCCATGGCGCCTAGGGTCCTAGTGACGCGTTTCGATGTAGAAAGGTGGCGCTACCTTTGCACTTGCGTACCCAGCACTTCTAGCCATGGTAAGGGCTTCTTAGGTGGGTCTGAGCCCGAACTTTCCTAGCCATGGTAAGGGCTTCTTAGGTTAGTCTGTGCCCGAACTTTCCCTTTAACGCATCAATCTACTCCGACTATTTACAACTTCTTTGTCGCGCGCGGCGTATTCTTTCGACAACCACCCTCTACTGGAGAGGTTTTATTTGAATCAAGAATTCTATGTTCATACCTTCTGCACTATAGTAGAAGTCTATGCAGGTGTCCTTACGCCACGCTTGCACAGCCTTGCTAAAGGCGCTCCTCGCTTTTTCATCTGAAATTTTGTTCAAAGTCTTCCGATACAAATGAGATTAGGGATGGACCAATGAGAGTAGAGCCATATTTATGTCATTTCTTATTTACAAACATATCAAATGCGGTGGGAGCCGAGCCGAGGTGCAGCCCCATGCCAGGCGCCGTTATACGATTTTTGGTGATATCAGCCTTACTTTCCCCAAATAATTAGTTCAACATGTCGATTATTGACTGCAGCTTCTAGACGTACCTTTTCTATTCGGTCCTAATGTTCATGAAGCACGAGCCTCAACGAATGTAGTGGGAAATTTGACATTTATAACACATGGGTATATGAACTTTCAAAAAATTACAGTGAAGACGAGGAGAACACCATGAGCAAATTTGACTGGCCCGGCACACAGTTTTTCGTTGCTGTAGTAGAGCCTCACATAGTGAATGTTTTGCGGACTAGGCACTATTTCGTATAAGCAAGCATTATGTGAAACACTTGGAATATAAGCGAAACTCTTGATTACTTAGGTAGTGCTTTGAAATTCACTGGTAAAATAAACAGCGCGTTAAAAGTATTATTTTCAATTTACGACCAATGCCAAGAAAATAATATTCAACTTCACCAACTTGCACTGGCGTCAAAGTAGTAGTAGACTCCGCCTGACCATATGGTCCAAGGATAATTCCTATCACGAAAGGCCTGACGTTTGCTACGATCGCTGCCATTTTTTTCGATATCGTCAACGATTTGATCCGCTTGAGCTCTTAATTAAATTCGCTGAGTCAAAACATGACAAGACTACTAGACTACCACTGGATAAGTAAACCAGTTGGGCAAACTTTGTAAGCATAACATCGCCTTGGAAAAGCATCTTGCCAATTCCGATCTTTTTGTTGATTTCGCCTATAGAATGGCCAGCAGCCTTGACCTTTTCTTCTTCCGGGACCTTCCACTTCTTAAGCAGTATTTCTCTTTTCTCATTGATATTAACCTTACTGAATATTCCGGAAAAATACCTTCAATTTAGCTGCAAATGCTTCTTGTTGTTCTGGAGTTAAAGCTAGTTGTTTCATGATTTTATCCTTCAACCTACGGAATCTCTGCCAGATTTTGACGATGGTGGCAATGTCCATAGTCCGGTTCTGAAAGATTCCAATAGAAAACAATGGTTATTGTCTAAATTCTCTCACACTTGAAAACCCGAATTACCTTCTTGCTGCCTTCTGTAACGTTACTTAGCGTTTGTCCGAGGGTTGCTTTGCCAAACAAGTCTTTCCCTTCTCCTTTAGATGGCTCCAATGTTGCGCATGAACCGAGGTGCAGCAACAGAATGAGCAGTGGTAGCTTCATTATAAAATCACTAGTAGACATGAAGTGTAAAAGCGGAAGGCAGTGTAAAGAGAAAGACATATATTGCTTAGATTCCTCGAATAAATCAGCTATGGTGACCTCCGACTGCCTTTTTTCAGAATATTTGAAGAGCAAAAGCTGTGGAAACATTGATGTCCGATTGTGCGGAGATATGGACTTCGTGATTCATTAGCTCTGAAAACCCCGTGATTTAAGTCTCCATCAAAACCTTGAGGTTTGGCACATTTCTTTTATAAGCATAACTCGGCCGCACCATTCGCTCTGAGTCGCGTGTTCAGCTGAGCCCGGAAGGGAACAGAGCGTGCGACAATCGCGCTAGTCACGTGCACAGTTACTAAAGCCGCCAATTTAGAGGAAAGTGCTTGTTATCATCGCCATTATGGTTTAAGATATTATTGATGACGTCGAACAACCTTTGACGCCTCAAAATAGGTATTCAATAGGGATTACAGCGGGTTAGCATAAACAATTTACTTCCGTTACTGCCTGACTCTATTGTATTTCAAAGAGGTGGGGAAAAACTCACTGGCGGCGCGGACGCGAGCGCGTGCCAATGAGGCCACAGCGGCGGCAAACGCGATGAGAGAACGAGACAGACGGCATCACTGGCACTTCGCTTGAATGGAAGGAAGGTTGCTGACACCTTACTGCCTACTGAAATTAGTGGTACCGGGAGCGAATGTTGTATTGCGTATAGGTACTTTTTTTTCGAGAACGTAGAGGAAATCAACGCCTTCATGTAAAAACGCTCAGCCTTGCGCAATTGATCATACTTATCTATTCTTATCTTTCTTCTTCTTCTTCTAAGTCTTATCTTCTTGCGAATATTTGATACGGGTTCTGATTTCGGATGTTCTCAAAGTAATTTCCATTGTTTGCTGAGTGATGTAAACTTGCAGTTTTTCAAATCCATGCCCCTTTCATTCGTCACTCATCAAACAACGGCTCCAATATCATTTCCTCCTACTGAACAATGACAGGTCTAGGATGTCGAAAAATAATCAATGATCGTATCGTCACGAAGAAGCTTATATCATTGATTTCAGGCTGTTAGACCACTAGTCTGCGACCCATTCTAGAACTTTAAAGCTAGCTTCTTATTGAAATTATGATATAGTTCTTAGGGGTTGAGCACTTAGGCCCTGACGAGCTACGGAGAAAGGACATCTTTGTGCAGAGAGCCCGACTGCTGCTGCTCGGCTCTGAAACCAAATTCAGAAATAATAGCTCCTGCATAGTTATGGAGCCCCAAATGAAGCAAAGTATAATAATATCGCAATACTGCGCGTTTCGCAGCCTAGTAGGGTCATACCCGCGCTGCTCGCGCCTCTACACCCCACCCTCTCGCCGTCTGACTCTAGCCGTTCAGCAGAGAGAGCGTTAGCGTTGAAGAGGGCAGCACCGATGAGAGTCGCATCAATGCGGAAATCAACGGGCAAGGAAGGGGTCCCATTTCTCGGGTTCTGGGCCGTTTCTCATGTTTTTCTTCATCCTGCACCACTGACCACCTCTACCTTCATTTCTAATGGGCTGCCTTTCCTTCGTAAAGCCGCCATGACTGCGTCAGGACTTCTTTCGGCGTTGCTATTCTCGATCTTTTATATCTAACCCAATACACACGCTTTTGAATCGTTATTGTTTCACTAATATGCGACACTCCTGAAAGCGAGCAAGACCAAAATATCCTACCAAACCGAATTTCCGGAGTATGAAAGCCTGATGATCCTTCTAGGGCCTGAAACTGGATACACTGATTTCGGGAAAGGAGTCTGTGCCGCAGTGTATGTATCCGATTTCATTAGAATTCTGTTCAGAAATTAGCTGCATCCATAAGATAAGTCATTTGGCGGCGCTCTGATTATCCAGGTTTTTTCTTTATTTTCCTTCTAATAGCATACTAAGCCTTCGAAATTGATTACCTCTCATGAAGTGTCGATTTTCACTAAGTAATATATCACAGTTTCTGTTTTTCAATGAAAGATAACATTGAGAACATGAACTAAAAGCTTCCACCTTACTCAATAGCTGCTACTGTTTCACCCTTTTGCAATACTTGTGCTCTGTGCCCAGACCAGTCCCTACATTTTTTCCAATTTTTGTGGTCAGTACTCATTGAGAGGTGAAACAAAAGCTCCGTTCGAAGTAGGCGCTCTAGAGCGCATTTAGTGCATAAGCGGAGCGCAGTGCGTGGCGCATCCTCTAGAGCTTGATTGACCTCGCCCATTTTAGCCTTTGTTTCCGATGGCTACCAAAGATGTAAAAAAAAGCTCGAACTTTTCTTTCTATTGTTTTGTATTTTGTCTTAATTACACTTATGGATCTACCTTATTGTGTTGACTAACTGGATCTGGTAACGGAAGATTACTTTCTAGCGGCTCTATTTATTCTTGAATTCCTTTTGGCCTCATCGGCTTCTTTGATTGCTTTTCCGGAAGTGGTCCTGAACAGGGGCTACGTCACATTGAGTCAGTTGTTCTCAGTGTTCTCAGATGGCAATATTAGGGAGCAACGATTGAGAAAAATGTGTTGTCATGGGATTTGTAGCGCGCCCCCAGTGACGTGCTCCACTCGAGCCAATCATTCCTTCTTTGGTTTGCAGCTCTTCGGCAACGAATTCCTTCTTTCTCCATTGGGCGAGTCATCATTACAGTAAAAAGGAAAAAGGATAAAGCATTTGCCGTTGATCAATCCCTTTTTGGGATGCGGCACGCATTCTACTTCCATTTGTACATTCGTAGTGGCGTTTGAATGCGATGTGGCCTATACAATGACTTGCGGGGGCCAGCCGATGTACAAGTCAGTGTTTTTATCCTCCCAGACAAGTCTGGTACCAATTAACCGACCCCGGAGGGATGGAAGGCTTGGTTGGCCCGGGCGACTCACGACCCAGGATTTGATCCCCGGACCGCTCGCGTGGTAAGCGTGCCACTCACTACACCACTTCCGCCCAGGAGGGGATATACATTTGTTATTGTAAAGCCACAGTGCGCCACGCTCCTATCATCCAATTCTAACACTTCACTATCCTGTCTCGTAAAAGATGTCATTTATGAACCCCTCCTCCCATCACTCCCATCAGAGCAGTACGACCCTTATCGAGAGATCCTCGATTGAGGCACGCCCTGGTGGCAACGAACCGACGTCAGGGGAATGGAGCTGCTCCTCAAGCACAACGCGATCTCGCCAGAACTCAAACGAACAGAACTCAAGCGCAGTTTGGCTTGCCTTTTCAGTCAACAGACGGAGCAAAATGATGATGGAGCTCTATAGACAGTATGAGTGTAACTTATGTTTTCTTCCAGCTTTTGAGAAACAAAAAAAAACAGATCAATGCTCAAAGTTAGCGTTCTCCGAAGCAAGGAAAACACTTAGCTGCCACGTGGTCGTCTCATGGAAAATTGCCATTGTACTCGTAATACTACTTAGTGGGCGTATTGACAGCAAGTTCTGACTAATCCTTAAGGTCAACGCGTTCGTCACTGCAAAGTAGCTCTCCCACTCCACACGAACACAAGCTTCGCCTGATCACAGTTCATTTACATGCTTTCGTACTACGACAAACTCACTGGTTTTCTTCGCTCTGAAGCCGCTCCTTTTTTGCATAGATCGTTCGAGTTCGTTGGTGATTTAGAAACATCTGACTCGAACTCATTAGAGGGCGACATCCACATTTTGCAGAGTTAGGTTCATTAGTCTCTTCCGCAGCGCATTTTCTGTAGGGGCACCAAAAACAGCAAGTCCCTAATTGTATCAAAGAAGTTAGCAGGTCGCTGATTATACTTAAATCTAATTTAGTGTTGCGCTTTTTCCCATTGAGCTCTACAATTTCTGGACTAGTTCAGAATTATAATTAGGTTGTTTAGAAACCCATTATGGAAAAGAGTTTGAAGCCATTTAAAACTAAGGATCTAACATTGGACAGTGAGCCCGTTCTGAGAGGTGCCGCGTGTTCCAGATTCGTTTAGATTCTTGAATCACTTGAATGCGTATTTTGCCCAATGAATGGATCGCAGCGCTAGACGATATACAGGGGGAGCGGGGGATCGCAAAAAAAGGCAGGCTCATGTCGCACCTCGCCCCTTTTTGTTGGACTGCCGTTGTTGACGGAAGTTTAACAGCAAAATATCTCTAAATGTCCCTCTATAAGTAGACGCAGGCCCTACCCCACTACTCTCACCCGCTTCAGAATATGAGTCATCTGTCATCGTCGTCAAGCTCAAGGAGGCCTACCGAAACGTAACCATACTGCTCTAGCCTGAAGCTCTTACATAATTTCGTGAATCGATTCAATGTTGGATAGTTTCCCTAAAGACATTCGGCTCTCATTATGCAAACCCCCTCGAATTTTGGTCTTTCAGCTAAGTTCGTTATGGTACACGATCCTTCGAAGACCCCATTGAGCTCGACCAGTGCACCATGTTTCCAGGGCAAATTTCTCTGATGCCGTCCACGTAGGTGGCCCCTTGAAGATTTTCTTATAGAATGGAATGCGCTCTTTCAATAATAAGTTGGGACCGTTCGGTTGAAGTGAGCCAAAGCGTGATTAGAATCCATCTGGATGTGCAGGCAAAACGTCTTTTTCTATTGCCCCCCCCCCCCCTGTACAAGTCAATTAGTGTTTTTCGCCCGACTAGTCTAGTAGGGCGAAAGTAGTACTAGACGAATCGGTGCCGAAGATCGACCAAGAAAAAACGACTTCCTTGGTTAACCTAGGCAAAATTCGATCCGGCAGTTTACACACGGACAATGCTCATGTGATACCCAATAGTTCAAGAAATAGTAAAATACATGATGCTTTCTGAATACGGAAAATATGAGTTTGTTTCCAGAACGTAATAGTCGCATCACTCGTGCAAAACGTTTTGCTGTGATGTAGTGAACCACGATTACGCTTAAAGGCAAAGTTCGGGCTCAGACCCACTTAATGAGCCTTTACGGTGGCTAGAAGCGCTAGGTACGCAAGTGTAGAGGTCGCGTCA